AAGGCAGATGCTTAATATACTGAGCCACCCCGGGGCCCCAATATTGATGCTTCTTGCCTATTAACCTGGTATAGCTTTCTCTTTAGTCAGATTTCCTTTTTATGGCTTTCAGGAAAGCTCTGTAGTTCTTGCAATTTTTTTTTTAAGATTTACTTATTATTTTAAAGGCAGAGGCAGAGGGAGAAAGAGCCCCAAGCAGACTCCGTGCTGAGCACAGAGCCCTTTGTGGGGGTCAATCTCACGACCCCAAGATCACGACTGGTGCCAAAAACCAAGAGTCAGGTACTTACCAACTGCACCACCCAGGCATCTCAGTTCTTGCAATTTTTAAACAATGTTATTGAATTTATCTCCAGTAAATTTATAGCTTTATTTGCTACTGTATAAATTTTTTTATAAATCTTATTTATTTATTTAATGGAGAGAGAAATCACAAGTAGGCAGAGAGAGAGGGAGAGGGAGAAGCAGGCTCCCCGCTGAGCAGAGAGCCTGATGCAGGGCTCGATCCCAGGACCCTGAGACCATGACCCGAGCTGAAGACAGAGGCCTAACCCACTGAGCCAGCCAGGAGCCCCTTTATTTGCTACTGTAAATGGGATTGTTTCCTCTCCCCCTTGGTTATTGCTGGTCTATAAGAAAGCTGTTGGGGTTCCACTTGTTGAGCTTTCTCTCTCCTCCAAACTGAACTCACTTACATTCTAATAGTTTCTCAGTTGACTCACTTGGATCTAAGCCTACCTTATTGTCCAAGCTCAGAATAAATTCTAAATGACAAGTTGTTAAAATAACTTATTTAATGATGGATGACCTTGTAGATATCCAAGTCAGCAACTTGAGCCTGTGTTCCACTTTCTGGGGGTACATGATGGATGACCTTGTAGATATCCAAGTCAGCAACTTGAGCCTGTGTTCCACTTTCTGGGGGTACACAACACAGGAAACTAAACTCTGGGGTGCTTACCATACAAGCTTCAGCTTGTCACTGATAACACCGGGTTTTCTTCTCCTCTATTCTCTTCTAGCAGCAGAAACAACAAAATCTCCTCTGGCTTACTTTAGATAGTTGGGGTTCAGGTTTTAATATAGCAAGTCCAGGGGCATCTGGGTGGCTCAGTGGGTCTCTGCCTTCGGCTCAGGTCATGATCCCAGGGTCCTGGGACCAAGCCCTGCATCGGAGCCTCTCTGCTCAGCGGGGAGCCTGCTTCTCCCTCTCTCTCTGCCTGCCTCTCTGCCTACTTGTGATCTCTGTCTGTCAAATAAATAAATAAAATATTTTAAAAAAAAAATATATATATATATAAAGTCCATCCCTCTGAACAGATTTTTCTCTCAAAGTCTGGGGCAAGAAATCAATTGTTACATATGTATTCACTAAAAAAGCAGCTGGAAGATGCTGAGTACTATGGCCCATGAGATCAAGGCACCAGCACACACTTGTGAGTGGTGAGATCTCAAGGCTGGAGGAAAATTCTAGAATAAAGTGCTCATTAGAGAGCCATACCTTTTCTCCCGTCTCCTTACCTCTCTGCACTGCCCCCTTCGTATCCATGGCATTGGAAATGTTTTTAGCAACACACCATACTGAACCACCACACATTATGTGATTCTCTTGGTGGAAAACCAAACACTGCGCAAAAACTGTGGTTTTCTAGTTCATGCTTCTGGATGGCAAATAATTCAAAATAAGCTGATAGGAGTAGCCAAGAGAGATTTAATCTTCTGTTTGGAAAAGGGCTTCTATATAAGTGAGTAGAGGAACCTTTAAGAATTATGCATGTTTAGGGGTGCCTGGGTGGCTTAGCGGGTTAAGTCTCTGCCTTTGGCTCAGGTCATGATCTCAGGGTCCTGGGATCAAGCCCCGCATCAGGGTCTCTGCTCAGCAGGGAGTCTGCTTACCCCTCCCTCTCTCTGCCTATCTCTGCCTACTTGTGATCTATGTCAAATAAGTAAATAAAAATTTTTAAAAAAAGAATTATTCGTGTTTACATATATGCACCAGAATGCTATGTCCCTTGTCAAATAGGCTTCAAATCAGCAAAAATGATAATATTTTACTTAATAAGTTTTTTAATCCCTCTGTTAACATTTTGGAATATATCATTTTAATGCACATCTGCAAATTTGTAATCACTTCATGTGAGACAACGAATGCTTAAAAAGGTAGCCAGGGGCACCGGGGTGGCTCAGTGGGTTAAGCCTCTGCCTTTAGCTCAGGTCATGATCTCAGGGTCTTGGGACCAAGCCCCGCATCAGGCTCTCTGCTCAGCAGGGAGCCTGCTTCTCTCTTTCTCTTCCTGCCTGCCTCTCTGCCTGCTTGTGATCTCTCTCTGTGTCAAATAAATAAATAGAATCTTAAAAAAAGAAAAAGGCAACCAAAAAACATTTACAGTTTTCAGACAGGAGTTTCCCTCACGTTTGGATAAGGATGCAAATTCAACTTCATAATAAATTACAGTGTATCGTAAAGATTAAATGCACTCAGGGATTGCATTCTCTCCTCCCTCCACCCTATCCTACACACAGCTGCCCAACTAATCCTCCAAAAACAACAATTTTCGTGTGCTGCTTTTCAAAACTAGCTTCCTGGCTTCCTGTTGCCTGAAAAAAATAGTCTCAAATGCTTTTGTCTGGCATTCAGGGCTCTCTATGATGGGCACCCTGGCCAACACATCACTCTGCTCATTTGTTCCACCACACACAAGTGGATCTCAGGCTAGTTATTCAGAAACCCACCTCCCCACCGACCCAGCAAAGGTCTCATGCGTCTCCTAAACTCACGGCTCACTCAGTGATGTTCTCAAAGGCCATTAGTGAGTCACATGCCAACTGCTAGAGTCAGGAGCCAGGGTGAAGTTGCCGCTGCCTAACTGCATGGACTGAAAGTGGAAACGTTGATTCTCCAGGAGAAAACTGGGGCATTATTATGAGAAGGCAGACAACAAAACCACCCAGGTCCCCTATGACTGCTTTAACACACTCTGGACAAAATTTAAGGAGATAAGCGAACATATTAACTCCCATTTTAGGCTGTAGCAAGCAAATGCAACTGAGGGAAGGCATTGTCTCATTCTGGAACAAACCATTTAGCTCCAGCTACTTTTATAAATAGATCAGACCCTGTCCAGGAGCCCACTTAGCTGGGTTCATTTGTATACAATGTCCATACCCTCAGGAATATTAACATTTTATCTCAGATTGCATTAATTTAAATAACACTTAACGAAAATGGTGTGAAATGAACAAAAACACCATATTCTGTGATGAATCAAATGAAATACATTTTCAGTTGTTTTCCCCATTTAAAGATAAAATTTCAGGGTGCCTGGGTGGCTCAGTGGGTTGAGCCTCTGCCTTCAGCTCAGGTCATGTACCAGGGTCCTGGGATCAAGCCCCACATCGGGCTTTCTGCTCAGCGGGGAGCCTGCTTCCTCCTTCTCTCTCTGCCTTCCTCTCTGCCTACTTGTGATCTCTATCTGTCAAATAAATAAATAAATAATCTTAAAAAAAAAAGATAAAATTTCTGGTAACTGTCATTATTTGTGAAAAGACACAAGACCAACAGTTTGTGTGTATGTGTGTTTTGGTTTTTTGTTTTTGGTTTTTTTCTTCCCCTTAAGGCTATAGCCATATTGTCACTAACAAAGCTCTCAAATTTGCCTGGAAGCTTTCATGCCAAATTGTCCGTCTGAGGGTAGTCACCACCAGCCAAATGGCTTTATACATCATCAGTGCCTTTCTTCCACACACATTCTCTTCCTGGTTTAAACATTAGTTACCCTGGTTCTACACTGACAGAGTATTTGCATATCTCTCCTGTCCATAAACTCCTAAAAGTTGGGGACCTCTCACTTTGGTTTCCCCAGGTCTTGACATTTTATTTGGTGCTGGGGGGGGGGCAATGGGCAGTTCAAGAAGTATGTTAATACTATCACTCAATGTATTGATCCATGCTATGCACCAACAGTGTAATAAATATCGTTCATTTCTTGTAACAAAGGCAGTAGGAACTTCTCCCAAGGGATGGAATTCCAAGGACAGAATGAAGGCAGGAAGGGAGCTGGTTTATTTGTACCTACTTTGTGAGAGACACTGGTTTAGGTATTTTTATATATACATTATGCCACTGAACTGTCACAATCCTGCAAATTCTTACATGCTTGGGTTTATATGTAGCAAGTTTAGTAAGCCACCCAAATTCACAATGACAGGCCCGTGAGTCAAATCCAGCATGCTTGACTCCATGATTGTCAAGTCCACTAGCCCCATATATCATGAGTTTGAGATTCATGAGTATGTAGGTGCTATCAGGAAATGTCAAAAATGCCCATTTCTGGGACACATGGATGGCTCAGTTGGTTAATTGTCTACCTTCAGCTCAGGTCATGATCCCAGCATCCTGGGATGAGTCCCCCATCAGGCTTCTTGCTTAGCCAGGAGCCCGCTTCCCACTCTCCCTGCCTCTCCCTCTGCTTGTGCTCTCTATCTCTCTGACAAATGAATAAATAAAATCTTTTTAAAAAATCTTGTAAAAGCCCATTTTAAAGAGTGTTTTAAAACACTGTTTGGACAGCAATAGAAGCGAAAGCAGAATGACATAATGTAACGACAGATAGTTTATATGGGAGCCTTTTGGGTACTCTGGTGGATGAATGTTTTTAAATTAGTTTTTGGTAAACTGCGAAAAAAGAAAAGCACTCCCGTTTATAGTGTACACTTTATAGTTCACAAAGCACGTGGCAACAATAAAGATAATGATGGGTTACGGTTACAATTCATAGAAAAGGAGGTACAGGGAAATTGAATGAAAGGGAATAGCAAAGTAGGTCCATAAGTCAATCTTCCTTGTAAAAAAATTAACCCGAAAGTGCATTTCTGCCACCTCTCTCCTGTTTGATATGATAAAGAATGACCACGATACATGAATTATAGTTTGGGGTTTTGAAAAGCAAAACAGCTTTATACCAACACTTGAGGTTTTTTTGCTAACAAGATCGCTCGATTTGATATGCGGTTCCTGACAACCAACTTCAGAAATAATTCCATCTTCATGAGAAGTCAGAAAGAACCACAAACCAAACCTCAAAATAGATTCAAAGAGAAAATACTCTTAAAAAAATTTCCCTTCCTATCAGAAGCAGACCAAAGGGAAGTTTATCCTCCCACTAACAAATTCCCCAGAAAGCTTCATCTAAAAGGTTGTACTTTCTTCAGACACCCAGCAGGACCTTCTTCTCTGGGCCTGGTATTTCTTCAATGGCCTGTTCCAGAGAATAAGACACTAAACTACAGAGCGCCATGGGCCTCAGAACCACGAAAGAGATGATGAGGGGCACAAAACAAGCCTCTGGTCACCAAGAGGGTATGTAGACGTTTGCTGCTTTTCTGCATTTTTCAAAGCTGAGTTTTTAGCTGGAGGCCGCTCCTTTATGATAAATTGCTGATACCGTATAGTAAAAGCTATTATATGATCTTTTACAAACCATTTCCTACCTTTGCATTCTCACGTGCCAAGACAGACACGGATTATTTAAAACCCTGAAGAGAGTGCTATTACATTTAAATTGCCTGTAACCTTCGTGTAATAGATTTATGATTGATGATAGATTTAGTTAAAATATAACTATTTTAAATATATATTCTCGGTAAACTATTCCAACCTGTGCTCACTTAAGTAACTGGTGCATAATCCCTTTTCAATTAAACCGTAGTGCTGCTTTTCTTTTAAGGACCAATTCCGCGTTTCCTAGAGAACCCCAAACTATTTTTCTAGAATGGCCGTATGCGTATGTATCAGGCGTCCTCTTTTCACTCCCTTTGTGGAGCACCTACCCTGGAGGTCATGTAATAACCAATGACCAAAAAACAACAAAAAAAAAACCATCCAGATCGAAGTTATTCGCGTGTGCCATCATGCAGCGGCAGACCCTGCCTGAAGACGAGGAGACTGCTTAAATAGATCGCGGGCAGGCATCTCAGCCGAGGCCTGTGCTGGGGAAGCTGGTTCCCGGCTTTGGGCGCGATTAGGAAGCCAGCAAAGTGACCCGAGAGGGCAGCCCGGGTTTAGGGCTGATGATCTTTTCGCAGCCAGGCCGCGCGCGGACACCCCCTCGGGGAGCCTGGGCGCCAGGCTGGGAGGCCGCCCAGCGCCGGCGCTGGAGACGCTCGGAGCCCCTGGGGGCTCCGCCCCGCGCCCCACCCGGGCCCGCGCCTCAGGAGGGAGGGGGGAGGCGGCGGCGCGGAGAAGGGGCTTTGCTAATTGCCGAAGCAGGAAGTGAGCTCGCGGAGGACGCGGCGGAGAGTCTGGGAGGAGGTGGAGGGACTGGCGGAGGAGGGGCGCGCACCGCCGCGGTGCCGTGCTGCGGCCAAGTCGGGACTGCAGGACCCACCGGCCTCGCCGCCTGTGCGCTCCCGCGCTCCAGCCCAGTCCCCGAGGCCGCGCAGTCCGGCTCGGGCGCCCGGCTGTCCCTCCCCACCCCATGGCTTCTCCAGACGACCCTCTGCGCGCAGGTAAAGTGACACCGCGCCGCGCCCTCACCTGGAGAGGGAAGCGCGGGCCGCGAGCTCACGGGGGTGTCGGGGCCCAGCCTCCCGCGACCCCCGGGGCACCGGGACCATCCCGGACACCGCGCCGCACCCGGGTCCGCACGGGGTCGGGCCGGGGACGGCGCCGCGCGAGGTGCCCCCCGCGAGCGGGCGCGCTAGTCCCCATCGTTCGGCACCCCCATGCGTGCGTGCGGAGGACTCCCCACTTCCCTCCACCCGCGCGTGGCCCCGCCGCTTTTGTTCTGGACTTGGAATCCCAGGTTGAAACTAGTCCCTCAAACCTCCCTGGCAGCAAGGAGCGCAGGGAGGGATTCTCGGTTTTTCCGACCTGGCTCTTCCTCTCTCCCCACTCACATGCCTTCTCGCGTCCCTTTCCTCTCCTCATTTTCACTTTTATTAAATGGTTTTGTTCTGTATGTTGACCCGCAGAGCTGTTTCATGAACGAATATACACGAAACCGAGAGTCGGAGCCTACCTGTGAGAGCCCACCTGTAGAGGCCTTTAATTAGAATGGTCTCTGGTTCTAGCCTCAATTTAGAATACTGCGTGTACCTGAGGACTGAGTCCAGATGTTTCTTTCATCTCTTACTTGAATTTGAAATCCTCCTCAGACTTCAGCTTCCAGGATTTCTCCCGTCCTTGCTCTCCCACAGTCTTGGCGGGGATCCGCCATGAGTGTTGAACACAGGAATGAATGAATGATATATACCCCAGATCACTGGGGCTTTTTCTTGTTTTGCTGAGGTTGGAAAGGCTAGGGAGAGACCCCTGGTATACAGATACAGAGCTGCATGCAATTGCTTAGATAAACGTGTTCCTCACTTAACTGCTTGGGCATTGAACATTCCGCCCTTATTCTGTGGCTTGAGCAGTTAGGAGGAGACAATCTGGAAGTGAATCAGAAGATGGCTGAATCCGCATGGTGGTGGGCTGGGTTTGGGAGATTTTCCTGGAGATTCAAAAGAAAGATCTAAATTCTTCCAGTGGGGAGTGGTAAACATTCTATTGATGGGAGATGGAAAATAAATTGTCTGGCTAACCTTTCCCTCCCCCTCAAAACCCATTATTTGAAAAAACAAAAAGGGAAGTGAAGGGAGAAATCCTCCCACTCCCATCCCCACTCACCTCCATAGCCACCTCCTCTTCCAAGAACCTAACAGACAAGGTGCCAAGAAGTGTTAGGCCAGATTTTACCAGCAGTGGTCTCAGATCTCATTCAAGGATCACGGTGAAAGGCATTCAAAGAGATTCAAAGGCACAGGGATCCAATGAAGGGGGACAAGTTTAAGGTTTGCCTGGTCCCCTAAAATTTAATGGCACCAGAAAAGATGAGCCTTGGGAACTATAGCTTAATGGATACAACGTGTAAAAAGCTCCAATGAGTCATGGTGGGAAGAGGCCAGGAGGGCAGCAAATACAGTCTTAGATGATGTTATTAATAGCACTACAGGGTCTAGATTTCCTGTGGTGGTGGTCTTGGCCAGCCCAGCCCCGCCAAAGTGGATACTCACAACCTAGAACAGAGGGTCTTGGAGATCCCAGCACGTGAGGCATGATGAGAGGGTAGAATGATAGGAGGTGTCCTTTGGAAGGACTGTCTCCTTGACTTTAAAAGGGAGAATCCAAATCTGTTGGTGAAATCTTTTTGGCTACAAAGAGGGCCGAGGCCTCCTAAGGTCAAGGTCTCCTTGTCACTTGCAAAGATGTCAAAGAACATATTCAGACATTTCAAAGATGTCCTCATGTCCATCAGTTCCCACTCTGGAATTCTATCAATAAGGTGAGAGTTCCTCTAGTTAAAAGAAAGATCTAAAATGACTTCCCTTTCTCATATAATTTCTGTAACCTCCAGGACACGCCCACCTACCCCTTCCAGCGCTGTAATGAAGCCACAGCTGGTGCCAATTTGTGGAACTCATTAAAGGCCATTTTCCCTTATATACACCCCCGACCAAGTTCCCATGCTCCCTCACCTGATTTCCTGCACTCACCTCCCACCTGGTGTGTTCACACCTGCACGTGCCTTTTACCAACCCCTTTGCCAAAAGGCAGCCAGAGTGACCTTTCAAAGACCTATCAGTTCCTGGCATTTGTCTACGTAGAAACCTGCACTGATCTTCTAACAAATTCTCAGCCTCCAAAGGCATCCATAGTCCTCCCATCCATCTCTTCCTACCCCTCCAACTGACTGATGCCTGTTCTGCCCCGGTCTCTCTGCCCTTCAACCACACTGCCTCCCTCTTCCTTTGGAGACCCCTCCTGGCGCTTGCCTCCAAGCACAGGTGATTCCCATTGATGGGAAGACCCTCTTCCTCTCCCCCGTCTCCCCACTCCAGTTACTCCCACTTATTCGTGAGCTCACAAGCCCCATGGTACACACTCTCCATGCAGCCTGCTCTCTCTTTTCTAGCACTGACCTCCCTTTCTAGCTGTGGTTGTGTCACGGGTGACCCTCCCCAGCCAGCCTCCAAGCTCTCTGTCCATTTAGCTCCAACACCTGACACAGTACCTGGCACGTAGTAAGCCCTGGCTAGCTTCTAAGAGCCTCACTGAGTGACTGAAAGCGTTTTTAAAAATGTCGCCACGTAGGCTTCAAACTGTAGGCAGAAAAAGCTTTGCCTGGATTGACATTTTAGAGACGTATTCGTCTAGTTAGATGTGTTCACTGACTTTACCTTGTAAAATTAAAAAAAAAAAAAAGACCTCTGTATCGGTTCGCATCTAACGAAGGCACATGTATACTATTAGACCACGTTATGAGCTTAATGGAAGGAGACAAGATTTTTCGCTAAGAAAATGTATAAGACTGTTGAGGTCATGTGGGAGGAAAATAGTCCCTTCATTAGAGCGTTGCTATCTTACTCTATCACGGCCACTAATAAAAATCTGACACGGGATGAGTCAGAATTGTCTGTCAGAAGTGAGTTAGATCTGGCTCATGTTCGCACAGACGTGAAAGCCAGGAACGAAGAAAGAGGCTTTGAAAGCCTGGGTTGAGGAGGCGGTGCAGTTCACTGCGATGAGCTAAGTGCCCAGGGCCACCGGCAGACATGCGGGCCTGTGTCCTTCCTTTGTTCTGGGGTCCCTCTTGCACCATGTGGCGAAGCTGGTGGCTAGGAGCAGCTCAGGACAGGACCAGGTGGCATCTTACCTCTCCCACCCTCCTGTGGGCTCCAGTGGGTCCCAGGGGACAGCCTTCCTTCCTTGCAAAGCCCAGTAGCACTGGGAGCAGAAACTGGGACCAAAGAGTGAGTGCCCTGTTTGACAAGCCGGACCAGCCACCTCTTCTTCAGATGCAGGGGGAGCCTTGGTGTGCTGACTTCTCCCTTCTCCCTTTCCCCTTCCCTCTCTTCCTCCCTCTTCCCTTCCCCTCTCTCCTTCCCTGGTGGTGCCCTTTCCCAATGCCCACTTCATCCCTTTTCCTTTCTTACATGCTTGTCTTCTAGATTTTCTTCTCTTTCCTCCCAATTACTTCCCCTCATCTGAATCTCCTCTCTGGTCTCTTTGTCCCCGCTCTCCGCTCCTCCTCCCCTTCCCTGGTCCCTATTCAGCTCCATCCGGACTGTAGGCAGAGCTGGACTAACACCCTCACTCGCTAGCTCGGCCACCTTCCAGAGGATTCACTTTTCGGTGGCCACCTTCCTGACCCCCTGGTCCTTTCTCCACTCGTTCAGCTATTGCTCTGAAGTCTGAGGAGGACAGAGCGGGGCTGCCGCAGAATCAGGCCAGAGGAGAAACCAAACTATGTGTGCACACTGCCCCCCGGCACTGCTGCTCTGAGAGCTTTCAGAGTCCTCAACAGGGTTAGGACTTAGGGGCTTCTTCAGAACCGGGAGTGAAAACAGCTATAGGTCAAAAGAAAAGCTATGGCCCCCACACAAAAATAATAATCACAAATGAAAACTAAGTTAACTCTGAAGTCCCAAATTCAAAGAATTGCCTTGAATCTGTCACTAGAAAGCACCCAAGGCCTCACTCTCTGGGCTCTGGTTGCCCTGGGAATGGCAGGAGGCTCTGACCCCCTTCCCTCTTTGTTCGCTCCCAAAGAACGTCCTCTGAGGTGGTCTTCGAACTTCCTCGGAGAAACTGTCTCTGGGAACTGTAGGCCCTCGGCTGCTGGGACTAATGAGGGTGATGTCAGGACCGCGCAGCTGTTGGGCAGCTTTACCAGGAGATTGTGGCTTCTGGATGCGGTCCTCGGGTCCCATGCTCTGGGTGAGATCTCGATCTTCGAGTGGAGGAGGACAGATGAGATTTCAGATTTAGAGTTGATGCTGGAATGATTAGTGCTTTGGGGGGCATTGGGTGAAGGTATTTTGCACATGGGAAGGACACGAATTTGGGGGGCCAGAGAGTGGACTGTTAAGGGCTGACCTGCATTTCCCCCAGAAACCTTGCGGCTGTCCTCATCTCTGGTACCACAGAACGTGACTTTATTTGGAACTAGAGTCCTTACAGATGCAATCACGTTACAGTGAGGTCATTAGAGTGGGCCCTAATCTCTTGTAACTGACATCCTTATGAAAAGGGAAAATCTGGGCAGAGAGATGCCCCTACTGTCAGTGGTGGGTAGTGCATGAACTTCTAGAACCCTGACAGTAGTGGAAAATAGACACAGGCTGGGCACTAGGTAAATGGGAGCTCTAGCAGAATTTCAGATGAAGATGCTGTGGACCTCAGCTTCCCGTGTCATAGTGACGTTAGCCTGAAGACGCTCTTTTGACCCTGCGACCCCCGCTTTTCACCATTCACTGACTTTTAAAGCTGGAAGGACACGTGGAGGCTCTCTGTTTACCCCTGAATATTACAAATTAGGGACAGGAATCCCAGAGAAACAGATGACTGCACAGCCCGCCTAGCTGGCTCTCACCTGTGGTCTCCAAGAGCGAAGCTGGGTGCCCTCTCCAAGGGCCACTGCGTGAGTTTACCCTGGGCCTTTCTCACACCTTTTGAGAACTGTCCAGAAGATGTGCGTATAAATTAAACATCATTCTTGCTGCCATCAGTGAGATCCTTGATGGTTAGTTGCCAGCTAATTTGGGGTGGTATATGACTTGCTTGGAGTCCCCAGTCCAGGAGATGTGAGGTGGCTTTGGGAGGAAAGGACCTACCAGGACAGCAGAGCTCCAGCTGAGGGCTAGAAGAGGGTCCCTGTGCGGCCCCAGCCTGAGCTCCCATGGTCCGCCTTTCTGCTTCGGTCCTTCCTGTGCCTCTCGTCTCATCTGATATCAGAGCCCTGCCTGTGTTTCCTGGGGCCTGTAAAAATAAACATTTTAATGCTTCCAAATGATTTGACGTCAGACTTAATAATATTATACCGTGCAGCTCCAAGAGCTCTCAGAAATCCTTTAGGACAACTTCCTCCTTCCAGACCAGTATCAAATAACCAGGGTCAGCCCTCTTCCAAATGATCTCTTCGGTACACAGCCATCCGGGCCTCGAAAACAAAGGTGATTGAGTGCAAACCATGAGGAAGACGCAGGGTCAGGCAGAGCACGTTGGGCACCACGTGGGCCTGGGTCGGTGAGCGAACTTGGCAATGATGCGCCTGGAAGAACTTCCTCCAGGGTCTGATCCCCATCAGAGGCTCCAGCAAACATGATTGAAAGTCCTGAAGGTGCCTCCCTGGCTGGTCACGAACCTGTTTCTTTTCCCAATTGCCCTTTGGCTTTGCGGCCGTGACTCAGAAAATGAGAAGCCTAAATTCATTGTCCCCTTCCCATCAGAACTTCCATCTATTATCAGAGATTTCAAACAAAGCAAGAAACTTTGGGCGGCCAGATAGGTGCTGTCATTGGCTTGGCTATTCCTGTTCGCCTGACAGGAGACATGCTCAGATGTGACCCAGAGTGGGGTCAGGGTCAGAGGGTCAGAGCGGAGCGGGACAGGGTTCCCACTTCCGGCCTCACCAGAACATCTCTCCTAGGTCCCCTGGACTGCAGGTTACAGGGGAAGGAGCCTGAGGCAGCAAGCACATACATGAGTCATCCAAGGGTACACTGCAGGCCTCATCCAAGGTCACACCCTTGGACTTGTTCAAGGTCAGACCGCTGCTCTCCATAGTGGCGTGTCAGGGAGAGCCAAGGCCTTCTGCACCCAAGCCCACTGTGCCTTCCTTTTGACTATGCTGTCAGCATCCTTGCTGCCACTCTTGGTATAATTCTGCCTTTCCCAGCAATGTCCTCTGTTTCTTTCCTCTCATGCTAGGGTTTCTGTAGGAAACAGAACTTACTTGTCTTGAATGCAGTGGGTGGTGTCTGCGTGGATCTTGTTGAGAGTTGTTTAGAAACCACCTCCCTCTTACCCCTCAACACGCACACCCCAGCTCCCCAGGCACTGCACAGCCCATGGACCTAAAATTCCACTGTTGGCACCTGCTAATGTACACCCCACACCCCTGGTGGGGGCATGTTTTAAAGTATTACTGTCCAGCTACACTTCAGTCAAAATGGAATTGCGGAGACAAGGCTGCGAGGGGCGGGAGGGGCGGGAGGAAGGAACTTGAGGTGGCCTCTGCCACCCACCCTCCCCGCAGCCAGGAACCAGAACGAGAAGGATGGAAAGGAAAAACTCAAAAACCAAACTCCATGTGTCTGGCTGGACATATCTGAAGCACACTAATATGTCGTGTTCTTTCTCATCTCTTAGCCTTCACCCGTGCTGTTCCTTCTATCTACAATGCTTTTCCCTACACAACCCCTTCTCCTGGCTCGCTTTAGCTCCTCCTTCCAGGCCCAGCTGTCGGTTCCCCTGCAGGCTCTTCTCTCCTGCTGCTCTTCCCCTCTGCCCCTGGCCCTGTGCACCCCAGGCTGGGCAGGGGCTGCCCCTCTCATTTCCATAGCATTCTGCCCTTCCGTTACTGAACTCTGAGTGCCCTGTGGTGTAAGTGCCTATTACCTGGGCCGCAGAAGCCCTGCCAACTCAGGGTGGAATTAGCACAAGTGGTTCTTACTTTCTTTACATGGATTTAAATCCATATTCGAGTCTGTATTCTACTGGGCTGCTAGGAGATTCTATCTCAGTCTGAACTGGGAGCCCTGGTGCCCTCTTTAGGGTCACACAAGGATGTGAGAAGATGATGTGCTGCTGGGAAAACCAGGGAGGCAGCTTGGTAGGCATCGATATCCTCAGGGTCTGAGCCATAGAAAACCCTTGAGCTCCAGCAACCCTCTGCTTTGGGGCCAGGCACACATCATGGGTTTCTTTGCTAGTGCAGGGAAGTCCCCTTTGTGCATCCCCTGATGTGGCCTTGCTACCTCTGGGCCCTGCCAGGGACCAGGGCATTGTCCCTGCTTGTGCGACTGCAGACATCTGTCCCCACTTCCATGGGAGGATGCTGGCAGAAGGCTGTCTCCGTTTGTCCTCACTCCTCTGGGCCACTTCGTTTAATCTCCCTAGTGATGAGGCTGTCGTAAAACAAACAGATGTTCCCTTCACACTTCACACACATTCTCTTCTGGGCATTTTCAACACCCGCCAGGCAAAGTCCTGTGGAAAGCCCAGACACATTCTAGAAAGGAGACCGTGAGGGAGAACAAACGTAAATGAATATATCAATAAATCGTCTTGATGTGCTCGTTTGGATCCCCAAAGGCATTTCCTGGGCCTGGTGCCTCGTCCACAGTGTTTACTTAATTCAGCTTAAGTTGACTCTTGGCTGTTTTAAGGCTTACACTTAGGGTTTTGTAGGTTGTGCACTACCCAAATCTAGAGGGCTGCACTCAAACAGATTTGGTTCTTCATTAACATAGTTTTCTGACAGATGTCTGGTCAGGTGTCTTGGAGTGTGAGCTCTTTTCTACTTTGAACAAATTCTTCAGATCTAGTGGTGGCCTCAACCAAGGCCTATACCTTTCTCTCTTTTTCCTCATTCGGTTTCTTAAATGCAACAAGTGATAAATAAGAAACAAAATTTTGGGAAGTGAAAAATCACTTTTTGTTTGATGATAATCCCAGGAGATTGCTGACTATTAATTTACCTAAACCACAGCCAGAAGTTTAATATTTTAAAATGATCTAAAAAAAAAAAGTACAGAGGAGTGGGAAACATGGAGAAAAGAAGAAATCTGGGTCATGTCATTCCTGCTCAAAGTTATAATCAAATTATACCAAAGAGGGGCGCCTGGGTGGCTCAGTGGGTTAAAGCCTCTGCCTTCGGCTCAGGTCATGATTCCAGGGTCCTGGGATCCTTGCATTGGGCTCTCTGCTCAGCAGGGAATCTGCTTCCCTCTCTCTGCCTGCCTCTCTGCCTACTTGTGATATCTGTCTGTCAAATAAATAAAATCTTTTTAAAAAATTATACTGAAGAGTCATGGGTACCACATCTGCATATCCATAGTTATGTAGAACTCCGAGTGTCTGTAGATCTCTACAAGTGAACTGTCTAAAATATGGTGTGGGTTTTTTTTGTTTTGTTTTTTGGGGTTTTTTTTTAAGAAAAGTTTGTCTTAATCTCTTTCTTGGTGCTATCTGACCCCATTCCTTCCTGTTTTGTTTCCAGTGACTAGGGTAGCTTGCATCGATAGGAAGACAGTTCTCAAAGGACACATCTGTGCTCTTACATTAAAATAATCTCCATTTTTTTGTTTTGTTTTGTTTTGTTTTTTACAGATCAGATGGCAAAGGAGCCAGTGGAGGACACAGACCCTAGCACGTTATCCTTTAACCCGGTAGGTTACAATCTTTACATCAGTGGTGACAACCCTTGTTATTTCTTTTTTCCCTTTGTTACGTTTTTATTGCTCAGTATTTACACGAAGATCAGAAACCCCAAAGTCAGGTTTTCCCAAGATAAATTTCTTTATCGCGGTGTTCTCTGTGATGTAATGAAGTTTGGGTTTCTCAGGGCTAAAAATGGTATTGGATTCTGTTCTTGTGATCTTCTTAGATTATATCAGGTCTTTGTATTCTTGTCTATTTTTAATACTTGTCAGTCCTCTGTTTAACTTCCCCTTCTTCAGAGTTCAAAATATTTAGTGTGAGATGGAAGGCAAAAACAGGACTAGTATAGAGTTACTGGGGGCCTGCGGGCACAGATGTTTGATTCACTCATGTTACTGCATTTATTCCCTGCAATAACCCTGTAAGGTAAGCACTGCCCATTTCACACATGAACAACTGAGACTCAGGGGTTGGGGTAAGTCGCCCACATTGGAAGCAGCCTAGGTGGGATGCAGACCCAGCAGCTGGCTTCCGGTCCCTGCCCTGCCCTCCCAGAACCACGCTGTGGCGTGTCTGCTGCTTAAGGCTTACCAAGGACTTCACATACATGGTTCTTCATCCTCCAGGTCATCAGTGAGATGGGAGGACAGCCACCCCATTGTACAGGTGAAGCGAAGAAAGTTCACAGATTCATAAAAAGTCACCCAGACAGGAGCCCTGCTCTCCTGTGTGGTACTGCCTCTTGGTTATGACCAAATCCATGCCTCTGGCAACATTACATGTGTTATTGTGCATATAGGGGGTGACACACTCCTTTAAAAAAAAAAAAAAAGTGTTTGGAGGAGAAGAACTGCACAGCCCATGAAAAATCCTGATCAATGTAGTTAGAATGATGTAAAAGACACACGTCAATATCATTAGACAATATAATTTGATGAAATGTCCTGAAGTCTTTGGTGATTCACGAGGCACCTCAGTGTTTTGAGGAGTTTGTCCTTAAGTCTTGAGTCCCCACTGCATAGTTCGTTGGGGGTAGCGTTGGGGACAAAGCTGGACACACAGTGGAAATCAAGAGGAAAACATCCTCTGTCCTTGCATTCCAGAAAGACAGAGCATGGGCCAGCCCTGGGGCTGTCGCTCCCCATTCCCTGTGCTGTCATCCTGAATGAGGGCCTTTGGCTACTAGAAGGTGCCCTCAGTTTGTCCTTCTAGTCCCCTACCCAGCACCCGACCCGCACTGCTCTTGGACTCCTGCTCTCTTCCCGCCTAGGGTCACAGCCGTCTCCACCTCCGCTCACTTCTCCGTGCCAGGGCACACTGATTTCCCCAAACCTTCCCTAGGTCAGTTTGCTGGGGCTGTCACAACAGAAGACCACACAGCGGGTGACCTAAGTGCTCCCCATGTCTGCAGGTTGGAAAGGGCAGAGCCCTTCTCGTCCCTCCAAAACTGGTGGAGAAGAATCCTTTCTCGTGTGTGGTGGTCAGCAACCCCTAGTGGTTCTCAGCTTCCAGCTGCATTCCTCCAATGTCCTTGCTGCCTTGGCCCGTGGCCGAATTCTCCCTGTGGGCGGCCATCTCTGTGTCTCTTCTCTTGTAAGGAGAGCAGTCCTGTTGAATTGAGGCTCCCTTACCCCAGTGGGATCTCATCCTCACTAGTCCTCTAAGTCTGTAGATGTCTAGCTACCCTATTTTCAAATGAGGTCCCAGGTAGAGGTACTCAGGGTTAGGACTTCAGCACATTTTTGGGGGGGAGATGCATGTCAGCCCAGAACATTCCAGGGGCTCCTGGGATGAAATCTGTGCTCCTCATCATGGCAGATGAGGTCCTCCATGACCTCATCTCAGCAGCCCTCCCGATGAGCCAGTCGTGTGTAGCTCTTTGCTGCGCCTGAAATACCCCACACCTTCTCACCTTCCAGGGATACTAACACTGTTCCATGCAGTGAGGAAAATCTCCCAGCTTCCTCAACTAGGGAACTCGTGTGCTTCCTCCCCAGCGACGCTCTCTTTGCTTCACCCTGGGGCTTTGGGAGGCTCCTTTCTCTATAGCCTAACCCCTGCTTTTTAATCACACTGTGCTGGAATTGTTTGCTTGTGTGAGTTCCTGCAAGACTGTGTTGAATGTCTTCCCATATTCAGCGCAGGACACAAAGCAAAGGTGGACAGGCCAAGCTTCCCAAGAACCTGGAATGGCACCCACCTAAATCTTTTCACCTTGCTTCCAGAATCTTCCATGTAAATTGGCTCTGTCATTTCCTATCCTCCGCTGTCCTCCTCCAGCGTGCCTCTCTGCTTCTACACTTGTCACACTTCATACCACCTGGACTTGCTCCCCTGGGCCCACCACCTGTGACCACTGTGCTCCTTCTTCTTGGTCACCCGAGTTCTTGGGCATTCTGCACACCAAGCTCAAATGTCAGTCTCTCCAGGAAACCTCCGTTTGCTCCAGCCTGTGGGTTCCCTCACACAGACTTCTGGTAGATATTTATTTAACACCGAGTCAAAATGCGGGGCTGCAAAGATCATAGTTCCTTTTTCTTAAAAAAAAAACTCATGAGTCTATCTGAGGAAATAGGCAAGTCCATACTTTAAAAACAGCCTGATAAGTGTTAGCGTACAGGTGTGTTTTCTGTGCTCCAGGGACCAGACTATCTAGAAGAATCTAGTCTCAGGGAGAATTTGACTTTAAGTTCTCCGTAACTGATGACTGATTGATTGATTTCTTCTGTGGAAGAGGAGTTCAAGGCTTCTAGAGGTTCTGAAATTTCACTGTTCAGCTCCAAAGAAACTGCAAGGAAGGAGTTTTAAAACAAAATCCTTGGTTCCACATTTGTTTGTTTTTCTCTTCTGTCAGAGGAAGACATGCGTGAGACCTACAGGCAAGTTGGAAGGTGCAGCCTTTTTTTTTTTAAGGCTGGAGGCATGAATCCAAAGGCCCAGATGGGGAGTGGGAGCTGCGCATGGGTTAGGGACAGGATAGGGAGACTGGGCACATTCCCACTCTGCTCATAGAAGTCATCGGAGAATTACCACATTGTTTAATCGGAAGTCAAAGTTTCCAGAATACCTGCATGGAGGTACCAGGAAAGAAATATGTGATTGCAAGAGCCTTTGCTATTTTGAATTCCCTCCCATGGTACTGCCACCAGCCAGTGCACTGAGCAACTGTGTACAATTGTGCGCAATGAGTAGATCTTTGTAGATCTTTGTGCGGTGGGTAGGCTGGTTGGCTTTTGAATCCTGTCCTACTCACTCCAGGACACAGCTCTACATGAGTGAGATACAGCCTGGCCCACGGGCTTGTTGAGCCAAAGGAATGCCACAGAAATGGGGACAAGAAATGGGTCTATCCCCATAATTCACGATAACAAATGCTCCTCAATTTTAAACTACAGGAAATGGGTGGGGGGGAATAGCCCAGCAGAAAAGAGAGGAAGTGTGGTTTAGCGGTCAGAGCTGAAGCAGTTTGGAAGCCTTATTCTGTTTCATGTTCCAACATTAACTTCTTGTCAACCTTGATTCCATTTTTATAGACCGAGGATAAAAACGAACAATGGGTCAGGCCTGTTGATAAATCCATGGCTAGAAACTTGCAAGGCTTTAAACTAAAATTATGACTTTCCCCAAACAAAGATTTCTTTTCACTTTGCTCTTATAACCGAACTATGTGGTTTAAAAATAACTCTCTTCTTTTGTTGGTTTCCACAGTCAGACAAATATCCCATTCAAGATACGGGACTCCCTAAAGGTATGTACACTTAATATAACTACTTGAACTTGTGATTATTTTAATGTCTTGAACAAAGCACTAGTGAAAGTCATCTCTCGTTCCTTAAAGTTGTTAAACAGAAGAAACATACTGACAGTTTAGCTTTTGACTTGTTGACTCTCTCGGGCATGGATTTTCTTATTAAAATCTACAAATTATTTCATTACAAATTATACATTAAATCCGTGTGGTGTTTTTAAGATGGATAAAATGAAGAGAGACAGTGCTCTGTGTTGCAAATGACAGAAACCTAACTCAAGCTCGTTTTAAAAAGGGATGGGACATACTGGCTCAGGATACTGCTCTTTGGATACTGTGAGGTGCAAATTTGAAGGATGCTCTCAGGCTCAGTCTCTGTGTGTCTCTCATCTCATCTCTCTGTCTTCATCTGTGTTGGCTCCATTTTGGGGCAGGCTTTCCCTTCATGGCTGGAAGGATGGTCACCAACACCTCCGGCTGTACACGGTGCCCATGGAGATGGCAGAGCAAGGGTGTGCCTTTCCCCCAGTGCCCACGGCACAATTTCTAGGGATGGATGTCATATGGGGAGTTTGGGTCACATGGCCATCTGTGACTCGTTGTTGCCCTTAGGAGGATGGAGGACGTGTGTCAGGTTTGCACCTTGAGGTTGGGTGGGGGAGGGCATGCAGTTATTCTACCCAAACCACAGGAAAGAGGCTCTGTTACTAGACAGAGGGGCAAAGGATGCTTGTCAGGCCCCAAAGCAAAACAAAACAAATCCAAAAAACCTATCTTTTGTAATTCATAGACCAATGGTTTAGCCATGGTGTAGACATGGCCAGGCTCAGCCTCTCGTGATTTCTTCTGTGGGGCAATCTGTTGTGGGGTCATCTGGTTGCCCTCTTGAGTCTTTACCTTGTGCTCCGCTGACAGGCCAGAGAGGAGGGGTGGACGGGGTGAGGGACAATCTGATCTGAGCAGCTTCAGAGATGGCAGGGGCCCCCAGCTTCCTGGAAAGGTGGGACTTCCCAGCACCTGCCGCTGTGGGTTTTCCTGGCAGTCCTTGTGACCGAGTAGCTGTAGGGTCACCCAACTGGAGGGTGAGGAGGGAGCTCCTTGCCAGGGTCCACTTGGGGTTAGGTCCAGGGTTCTGCGAAGGTTCCCCTCCCTCCAGTCCTTACTGGCTAGACACTTCTCCTTACATCCAGAAATTAAACCTCCAGTATTTCATTCCTTTTGCCGTCTGTGCATATCCTGGGAGTGGCAGTGATGTGGAAAAAGGAGACCAAAGGCCAGGTTTGAGTCCAGATCCTGGCTGTATTCAGAGAGGCTTGTGGCAAGCTCCCCTTCCCCTAGTGGTGAGTGACCTCTAAGTGTCCCGAATCCTCCAGTCCATGATTCGATTCTCCAGTTCAGCCAGAAGGTAGAAGACGCAAACCAGGCGACCAGGGACATGGGAGGTAGTCTCAGGTGGTGTGGCTTCGACTTCAGTGTGCCGTGAAGAATTATTGAGGGCATGGGGGGAGCTGTTGAAAATCCAGATTCTGGGCTCAGTGGCTTTGAAATCACCATGTGGCAGGTGTGGTACCAGGCCCAGGAACCTGTAAATGCATACCTGAGTGGCTGGGAGGCAGACCTCACTTGAACCGAAGAAGCTCAAGGATTTGGTATGTCCACCAGGGAGGCAGATAGACAAGAGAACCAATCTGTAGCCAGACCACTAGCTGGACTCTGAGTGCCGTTAGAATGGTGGCTGCACCTCTCAGGGTCTCAGTTCCCTGTCTCCAAGTGCAGGAAGGACAGTGTACTCCTCTCCTCCCAGGATGCTAAGGAGAATCCAATGAAATGAGTACAGGATGGTGCCTGACACAGGCGAGCCAGATGGTGGAGGAAAATCGGGAGAAGGAAATGTGCAAACTCAGGCTTGAGGGTTCTTTCCCAGTCCCATGACAAGAATGGCACTGCTTGAGACAACCACTGAGCTGCAGTGACTCTGAAAATGCAATGTCACAGTTTGATCTGTCTAAAAGATCTTTTTTAACACCCTTAAAAGTGATTTCCTGTTTTGGAGGGGAAAAAAAAAGAAGACTGGTTGTTTAGCAACCTGATACTGCAGTAACTGTATCATTGGGTTTCTCCTGGAATTCGAGATTCACAAAACCTTAATTAAACTGGTGAAGATTTTACAAGTAACATGACTGTGAAAACCACGTTTATGGGAAATGTGACTATATCTTCTATCCTGATTCATGGAGAACTAACTAAGCACGTGGCTTTTTTTTTTTAAGATTTTATTTATTTATTTGACAGAAAGAGAGATGACAAGTAGGCAGAGAGTCAGGCAGAGAGAGGGGGAAGTAGGCTCCCCGCCGAGCAGAGAGACTGACTCGGGGCTCAATCCCAGGACCCCGAGACCATGACCTGAGCTGAAGGCAGAGGCCCAACCCACTGAGCCACCCAGGTGCCCCAAGCACATGACTTCTTATCTCTAAAGAAATACATCATCTTATACATAATGTCTAGAAGTTTATAAACTTACTCTAAGGGCTCCTGGGTGGCTCAGCTGGTTAAACGTCTGACTCTTGGTTTCAGCTCTGGTCATGATCTCAGGGCCATGGGGTCGAGCCCCTGTGTCAGGCCCTGCTCCGCACAATGTCTCTTTGAGATTCTCTCTCCCTCTGCCCCACCTGCCACTCACTCACACGCACACATGCATGCTCCCTCTCTCCCAATAAATAAATGAATCAAATCTTTTTTAAAAACTTCAACATTTGCATTCAATAATATCTATGACTTGGGATGCCTGGGTAGCTCATTCAGCTAATTATTTGCATTTGGCCCAGGTCATGATCCCAGGGTCCTGGGATCGAGCCCTGCATCGGGCTCCCTGCTTGGTGGGGAGTCTGCTTCTCCCTCTGCCTCTGTTGCTCCTCCTGCTTGCGTGCGGTCTCTGTCTCTGTCAAATAAATGAGTAAAATCTTTTAATAATAATAATATCATCTATGACCTGATATTTGCTAGTATTTTTAAAAACCTACCAATGGGGCCAATAGCACCATTAAACATTTATGGTAATTTTTTTTATAAACATATAATGTATTATTAGCCCCAGGGGTACAGGTCTGTGAATCACCAGGTTTACACACTTCACAGCACTCACCATAGCACATACCCTCCCCAATGTCCATATTATGGTAACTTTTTATCATAAATGTTTTTAGGGGAAGAACCCATATGAATCAGTGCAGAAACAAAGTATAGATTCAAAAGCAAATATAATCTAATTAAGTCCAACCTTGGACTCTAACGTTTAAGTGAATTTTAGGGGGTCCTGCTTTCTTTAACAGAGGATTTACCTGTAATTAGCTTCAGTGGTTTCCATATGGTTAAAAAGTCTTCAAATTTTATTTTTTTAAGCAGACTAACCATATTTCACAAAATATGATGCTTCTAGTATATTCCTGCTGTCTCCACGGGCAGTATAAAACCATTCCTCACACAGTCCTGAATGGAGGGGTTCTGAATTAGCTGCTTTCACCATAAATCAACAGTGAAATCTAACACAGCTCCAATGACCAGCCTGTTTTTGAGATGAAACATGCTGCTAAACTTGTTTTCTTATCAAGAACAAATGTGTAGCTTCCACCTCCCCTGATTTTAGAGATTTCAGGGTTCATTCTGTCAGGCCTCTTTTCTGAGAGCTATTCTGGGAGAGTCTGCTGGCACTAAGGACTAATATAAGAGTGAGGTTCATTTTATTAAGGTTTTTTATTTGAGTATTGTTGACACGTAATGTTACATTAGTTTCAGGTGTAGGGCATAGTGCAAAACAGCATGGAGCTTCCTTAAAAAAATTAAAAATAGGGGCATCTAGGTGGCTCAGTGGGTTAAGCCTCTGCCTTTGGCTCAGGTCATGATCTCAGGGTCCTGGGATCGAACCCCGCATTGGGCTCTCTGCTCAGCCGGGAGCCTGCTTCACCCTCTGTCTCTGCCTGCCTGTCTGCCTACTTGTGATCTCTCTCTCTGTCATATAAATAAATAAAATCTTTAAAAAAAAATTAAAAATAGAATTACCATATGCTCCAGTAATTCCACTACTGGGTATTTACCCAAATAAAACAAAAATGCTTATTCAAAAAAAAATATATCCACTCTTATGTTTATAGCACCATTATTTGCAATAGCCAAGCTTTGGAAGCAACCTGCATGTCCACGGACAGATGAATGGATGAAAAGATGTAGGGAGGGGTGTGAGTGTGTGTGTGTGTGTGTGTGTGTGTGTGTGTGTGTGTGTGTGTGTTAGAATATTACACAACCGTTAAAAAGGATGAGATTGTACAGTTTGCAACATGAGTGGGGCTTATTTTATATCAAAGAGCTCCTGGTATCTTGTAGAAACTGCTGGCTTAAGTGTTTTTGAAAGAAATGTGACTCTTCACAATTTGAGAGAAAGTGTGTTTGGGAAAAAATTCTCATTTTTGAACCACTACTCCCAGTGAGGGGAAATTATTCCACATAAATACATTATAAAGTAATCAAGATTTTATCTCCTTTTTCTCTAGGGTTCCTGCTCTTTTATTGTTCAAAAAATTTTGTGGTGAATTTTAAGTTAAAAAGAAGTAAAGTAGACTAATTCTATTGTTGCTAAATTTGAGGCATAGGAACTCACACGTAGATAATACTTGGGATGTTTTAGAGCAATTTGTCAACTAAATGTAGAAGTAGTGGTTCAATTTGAAAAAGTGAGGAGAAAAACAAATATGAAGGAATTCACTAAAATAATTCAGAAGTAAAAATACTTGCCCTAAAACTCACAAGCCAATATGCTGTATTATATATGATCTTTCCCCTCATAGATTGAAGCATTTTGTTAATAGGCTTCCCTGTTCTAAAAGGAAGCCAAACACCCCTCCTTCTTGCATGATTTGCTGTGTCCTGGTCCTGCTCGTTCCATAAGTTCATGGCCTCCCACTCAACCTTGACTGGGACTCCTATTATAATAAACTCCCAAATCAACC